AAAAGCTGCTTGTTCGGAACTGCCGCATCGTTTGGATCGAGAGAGGTCTCTTTGGAAAGTATTTTCAAAGCGCTGGGCAGAATAATTGTCTTCTAGGTGTTCAGGGACTGATCAAAAAGTCTTGGGGGTGGGGGTTGGGCCGCAGCAAAGAGGGGGTGGGTCATCAGTTTTTTAGCCGCTGGTACGGCTTGGGTCGTTCAATTTTCAGCTTCTCATGGGGGTGGGTCATCCTATTTTATGACAAATAATTCGTCTTGAACCACTGGAACAGTTGGTCAGACGTTTAATTTTAATTTTGTGCGCTTCACCCCTCTTACTTTTTCGCCAGTCCCTTATTCAGGTCTAAGTTTACTTCGAAAATTAGTCTTGTCATTTCTCTGCATGACTGATTCACATTAGGCGCTATGGCTGCTGACAGGAATTGCGTTCTAACCATCTCTAAAGTCGCTTCTCAAAAAGTACTGATGGATGAAAGCGAAATAGGTCTCTTTGGAAAGCTCTTTCAAAGCGCCGGACAGTTAGAATTTTTCGTCCTCTTTCCTTACGAATTGCGCTCTGAAAATCCATGCAGGAACAAGGTTTTTCATATTTGATTAACTACTAAATTAAACTTTGAATGTTACTACATCATTTAAATTCGCCAATCAGGTGTGTTTCGTAAAATAGCCTCGCAGTTTGAGCACCGAGCTAAAATTATAACGACTTACCTGAAAAACTAAAAGTAGAGAAAACTAGAAACCATAATGGCTAGTGCGTTGTACGACACAAGACCGCGTGACTGATTCTTGTAGACAAATCAATAAATAAATAAGCTCATGGCATAGTGTGGCTAAACACTTCGTGTAAGCCACACAAAAAAACAACATCTTCCATGTGTTTTCGAGAAAATAAGGGTTTCATGTTACATACCTTGTCACGTTTGCTACTTCAACGTATTACTAAATTTGAAATAAACGAAAATCAACGCAAATACCAGAGGAAAATTTAAAAACTGTCTTTGCAAACAGTAATTTTAAGTTATTGTTGATTATGTCTTATCAAGGTGTCTGTCCGTTCATATTCTGCAAGGGGAAAAGCCCTGGGTACCAAGGTAAATACGAACCAGGAGTGAGCCGGGCAGGGATGAGGACCTGTGTGACTACTATGCCTGAGCTAAACATTGAACTCTGCACTATCTGAGATTTTCTCACTAGTTTTATCATTTCGTTAGGAATACACGGTAGAGATATCAGTCTTGAAAGAAACTGAGATGACAACGTGTTTTGAAAGGGAATAAAGTCGACTGTTTTAGCAAAGTAAAAAGCTGGGCGTAGGGCGGCATAGAATTTAAGCCAATCAAACCCTGCTCTAATAAATATGGCAACAAAGATCAGAGGAAAGGCACACGGATGCAAGCGTTGTGGTCAGTTGTTTGACCAGTTGTCAGCTTACAAGCAACATGAACGAACTCACACAAGAGAGAAGCCGTATTCATGCAAGCATTGTAAGAAGTGCTTTAGTCAGTCATCACATTGGAAGGAACATGAACGAACTCACACAGGAGAAAAACCGTATACATGCCAGCATTGTAAGAAGTGCTTTAGGCGGTCATCAGATCGTGTGAGACATGAACGAACTCACACTGGAGTGAAGCCGTATTCATGCAAGCATTGTAAGAAGTGCTTTAGCCAGTTAGGACATTGCAAGCAACATGAACGAACTCACACAGGAGTGAAGCCGTATTCATGCAAGCATTGTAAGAAGTGCTTTGGTCGGTCATCAGATTGCAAGAAACATGAAGGAACTCACACAGGAGTAAAGCCGTATTCATGCAAGCATTGTAAGAAGTGCTTTGGTCGGTCATCAGATTGCAAGAAACATGGAGGAACTCACACAGGAGTAAAGCCGTATTCATGCAAGTGTAACGTCAGGTTCACAGCGACTGTTGAAAGGCTGAATTGTCACTTGCTAGACAACTTGTCGCGATG